ACTTAACTTTTACATAAAACTCTCTCTTATACATGAGTTTCTGTGGATTTGTTTCTCTAATGTACCCAGACTGACACAGTTGGGGTGACAAAGGCATCTTGCTCGGTAAAACAGAGGGTGGCGCAACCAGAGGAAGGCCTTCAACGAGATGGATCGACTCGGTGACTGCAACCATGGGCTCAGGCATCGGAATCAATGTGAGGGTGGAGCGGGACCAGGCCATGTCTCCCTGTCTCTAGTTAACATATTGTTCAGAGTTAATACCTACATAATACCCTTCCATAGGTCAAGCATGTCCAGCAGTATTGTACAATTGTACCATAATCAGTTTCCAAACATTCTTTTTCTTCCTGGACGACTCCTGGACCCGTGTTTCATTCTGTTGGGCGCAGGGTTGGTCTCACTCGCTACGGGTGGGAACCGACTGGCCGCACCTAGCAACACCTGCCACAGCAACAGAGACTCTAGCTGTAAGGATCAGCTCCAGGAGTTCGCGGTACGACATTGGCTGAGAGCAGAGACCAGCAAGCTGTTGACCTGGGTTTTATCGATGATGCAAAGGCGTCCAACTGTGTGGAGCACAGCAAGTCACAGCGGGGAGAGGGGAAGTCGAGACCATTTAATAACGGTGCACACCTGTGTCGACCCAGCGGCAGTGAGGGGTTCAAATTGACCATGGGTGGGGTGTCCTGTGTGATTTCACACCCAGAAAGTTGTGCATCAGGGTGTTGTCTTTACCATCCTTACAGTCAATCTTTCCGTGGAGCAAATCCTCTGAGAAGCTTCACTCTATGAAGGAGAACGGGACACCTGGATTGGAGGAAGCCTCATGAACCACCTGTGATAACACAGATGACACCACCTGGCCTGCTGAGATGGAAGAGGACTTGAGGCATCTAGGGATGAAGATCAAAGGCCACAGTTTTTACGATGGACGATGCCTCAAGGTCGAACCGACTACAACCAGACCAAGAAGCCACAGCAGGATAAATGGGGGCAGTAATGATGTTGTGCAAGGTTTCATTTAACTCGGATCCACAATCCACCCCGGTGGACGCAACAGTCAAGAAATCAGACACATTTCAACAGGCAAATCTGCTTCAAAAGAGCTCTTTGAAGCTCCGGAAAGCAAGGTGTTCACGTTGAGGATTAAGGAGCCCCCGACCCCGGCCTGGATGTTTCCGATGGCCTCCCAGGCCCAGCACGCTGGAGAATGAATCAGGAAGGGTGCAGAACTGATGCCTGTGGATGATGGTGTTGGCGAGAACATCCAATATGCCAGGGACTGCCAGGGGGAGGAGGGACTCTCTTGGAAGAAGTCCAGCAGAACGTTCCTTGGCCGTGGGAGTGGCCAGCCTGCTCCTGAGCAGGGAGGATGGGAAGACTTCATGTCACATACTGTCACATGTCCCAGGTTATCGGAAGGAGCCAGGCCCCACTCGGATGCTCACCAAAGAAAACCCTCAAGGAGACCCGATGGGCACTGTGGCCGCCACAAAGGGCTCAAACACAAAACAAGTGGAGAAAGTCCCTGCCGCGGGCCCCATGCTGACCCGGTGATGCTAGAGGAGAGAGAGGGTGGAACTGCCTTTGTGCATTCAGCATTTCCAGGATGGTAACTCTTTTCAGGAGTCCGAAGACGGCTTTCTCCCCAGAAGTAGCTGGGGGGTTAGAACTGCCCACCTTGTGGGCTGCAGCCCAATGTTTACCACTGTGGCACCAAAGGCTCTCCTGGCTCAAACACAAGAGCAGTGTGTTGTTGTCTTTGTCTGTCTCCTGGTCACCGCACCTAACACACATCTTTATAGAAGCTGCCTGCCTCACCTTCCTCCCTCCAAACGGTTGGTGGGTTCGGCTGCCAACCTTTCCTTTGGCAAATGAGCGCTTGACCACGGCGCCACCAGGGTTTCTTTCCTTTCCTTACTGTGGTCAGTAACCAATAGGGCTCCTGGTGGTGTCGTGGTGATGCGTTGGGGTGCGATCCTCAGGGTTGGCTGTTCGAGACCACCAGCAGCTCCGTGAGAGACAGGCTGCGCTTTCCCCTCCCGTCCACAGTTACAGTCTCGGAAGCCCGCTCGCATGGAGCGGCTATGTCCTTTGAGCCTGGTTTTTGGATGTACCTCGTGGGAAGGAAGATTTTGCGGCTGCAAGTGGGACCTGTGCCGCCAGGGCGCGCGCCGCCCGCACGCTTCGGGCCAGGCCCCGGAGCCCAGGGGAGGCCAGCCGAGTTGGAGAAAACCCCAACCGAAAATAACTGACCGCGCAGGATTTTCCCGGACCCTCCGAGGTGCCGTGACAACCCTGCCCTTTGCCCAGGCCTTTCCGAGGCGGGGATTCAGCACCCCCCAAACCCTCTAACAGAAAGATCCGGCTGGAAATTCCTTAGGAACAACCGGGACAGGGGGCGGGGCCCATTTCTGGATGGTGGGTGACTGGCAGCCCCCCTCCCCGCAGGAAAGGCCTGCCCCGCGGGCTCTTCCCCTTCTGCTGCGCCACCTCCCTTGCTCCCCAAGAGGTCTCCATGGCGACACCGCGCGTGCCCCACAACAGGAAGCCTTGGGCGGCACTGCTTTTGTGCTAGGAGACCCCTGTGTCCCCAGCCTGCATGAGGTGGACGATAGGTCTTGGGGGTCACACACGCAGGCGTGGCTGGAGGGGGGAGGTGACTTCCCGCCTCCGAGACTGAGCCCCGAAGCCCTAAAAACATCACCCCGCTTCCTAACAGTCCTGCTCCAGCCAGTGCCTGCAAACTGGCAGGTGTTAGCGCGGAACTCAGGGTGCCAGGGACACACGCGGGGTTTGGGGTACCCCGTTCCACGTGGGGCCTCGGGGCTGCCTCTGATTCCCTGTCTCCTCTTACCCCCTCGGTAAAGGCTTGGGCTGCTTCCTCAGTTTCCCCAGGGAGCCTAGCACTGGAGCGATGGGGTTTCCTTTTCCTGGAAGCTTGAACGAAGTCCCTAAGGCTGAGCGGAAAGGGGAAACGAGATTGTGGGGGTGGGACACCGACTTCCTCACCCCGTGATGCTAGGATGCCAGGTACCCTACCACACGTACACCCCACCCCGGGATTCTCAGCGCCCCCAGGTGCCTGGGCTTGCTGTGGCCACTTCGCTGGAACCCCCAACATGTCCCGTGCAGGAGGGGCCCCCTCGAATAGAGGGCACCTGGCGGGGATCCCGGGGCTCCGTTTAAGGTGCACGCGCTGGGGGATTAGCGCTGGGTTCCAGCCCCCTCTGCTCGGATCCTCGCTTTACCCATCTGTACAACGGGCACCGAGTGGCTCAGGTATGCGGTCCGTGCTAAGCAACGGGGTCAGCGGGGCGTCCAGTTTAGCCCCGGGGGGGGGGGCCCGGATACCTGGGCGTCGGGGGACCCCCAGCCCGCCGCCTCGCCGACGCCACGGCGGTGGCCGCCCTCGTTACTTCAGTTTGGAAATTCCGGTGTTCCCAAGGCCAGCGGGGAGGACGACCCGGCGCGCGCCGAGCACCCTCCAGTCCGGAAATGCCAGAGCCCTGGGTCTGGAGGGGAAGGCGGGAGGTTTCCGGGAAGGCAGCACCGCCCCCCGGCCCCCAGCGGCCGGCGCTATAAAGGGGCCCGCGGCGCTCTGGGTCCCAGTCACACGCAGCACCCTGCGCCCAGCACCCAGAGAATCGTCTCCTGCCGCCGCCCGGCTCGCTATGGCTCCCTGCGGCGCCGCCTTCCTGGCCCTGCTCTGCGCTCTGCTCCCAGGTGAGTTGGGGTGCAGGTGGGCAGCTCCGGGGATCTGGGCTACACCCTTGGCATCGTGAGAGGACTGCCCGCCCCCCCAATCTGTACTTAGATCGGCAGGTGGGTGGCCGTGACCTTTACTGGAGTCACTCAGGGGGGTCTGCAGTGAGTTCAGTGTGGGGTCTGCAGTCACCTCGCCAGGGGCAGCCACAATCTACAGTGGCAGCTGCTTTGTGGTGGTTTCTCAGCATAAAATGGAGACAGGTCTGGGGGCCACCTCATAGCGGGTGCCTGACCCAGCGCGGTGCCTTGGCTCCAGACCCAGGGGAGGACATAGCCCAAGCCCAAGTCTCTGCCTCCCCTCATTCTCCCCACCCCACCCCGTGTTGTGTTCCTCATCCCCCACCCCTGGGGGGAAGTCCAGACCTGCTTCTGCTTGGGGGAATTCCAGGGCTGGCTGCCCAAGAAGCCAAAGCTGAGAGGCCATGCAGCCCCTGGGTGGTTTCCCTTCCCATCCAGCAGCAAAGGGGACAGTTAGGAAAAAAAAAAAAGGGGGGGGGGACAGTTAGGGCCTCGAGGAGATGGGATTGGTGACCAGCTTGATGCTGGGATCTATCAGGTACAAGATTGGAATTGGAGCTAATACTTCCCAGCTGAGTGACTTCCTCTCGGAGCCTCTGGTGAAGAGGGAATGATCCCAGAATTCCCTGGGGGGACAGCCCAATGTTCCCACACACCCAATGTTGCCTAGAAGCAGTGGTTCTCAACCTTCCTAATGCCTTGATCCTTTTTTTGGGGGGGGCGGGGTAGGGGATGGGGGTGGGGGGGCTCTTGATTAAAAATTTGGTCTAT